TTTTGGTGTTGAGGTGTTGAAGTTTTCTATAGATTTTGGAGATAAGTCCTTTATCAGATATGTCATAGGCAAATATTTTCTCCCAATCTGTAGGTTCTCTTTTGACCCTTTTGATGAAGTCTTTCGGTGCACATAAGAATTTAATTTTTAAAAGTTCCAGTCATCTAGCTTCTTTTCTATCTCCTGAACATTCTGGGTTACGCTTGATAGTCTATTTATGCTGTAAATTAGGGCTCCCAGATTTGTCCCTATTTTATCTTTGAATTTTATAGTTTTTGGTTTTTACATTTAAGTCTTTGACCCAGATTGAGTTTGTTTTTGTGTATGGGGTGAGGTATGGGTCTTGTTTCATTTTTCTACATGTAGTTTCTCTTTTTACCCTTTTGACAAAGTCTGTCAGTGCACATAAGAATTTAATTTCTAAAAGATCCCAGTCATCTAGCTTCTCTTCTTCCTCGTGTGCATTCTGGGTTATGTTTGATAGTCTATTTCTGTCATGAATTAGGGCTCCTAGATTTGCCTCTATTTTATCTTTTGAATTTTTATAGTTTTGGGTTATACATTTAAGTCTTTGATTCAACTTGAGTTTGTTTTTGTGTATGGGGTGAATTATGTATGGGTCTTATTTCTTTTTCTGCAAGGGGATATCCAATTTTGCCAGCACCATTTCTTAAAGAGGCTGTCTCTTCCTCATTTAATGGGTTTTGGACCTTTGTCAAAGATCAACTCTCCATAGATGGATGGGTCTATTTCTGGGTTTTCTATTCTGTTCCATTAGTCTATCTGTCTGTCATTGTATCAATACCATGCTGCTTTGACTACTGTGGCTTTACAGTAGATTTTAAGATCTGGGAGTGTGAGACCTCCCATTTTGTTCTTCTTCTTCAGTAGTACTCTGCTTACCTGAGGTGTCTTTCCTTTCCATGTGAAGTTAGTAATTGGTTTTTCCATATCCTTAAAAAATTTTGTTGGTATCTGGATCGGGATTGCATTGAATGTGTACATTGCTTTAGGTAGTGTTGACATTTTCACAATATTCAGTCTACCTATCCATGAACAAGGCAGGTTCTTATATTTATGTAGAGCCCTTGTTGTCTCCTGTAGTAGTGTTTTATAGTTTTCTTTGTATAGGTCTTTTGTGTGTCTGGTAAGATTTATTCCTGGATATTGATCTTTTCAGTAGCTGTTGTAAATGGTATTGTTTCCCTTATTTCCTTTTCAGAGAGCTCTTTGTTGGTGTAGAGGAATCCAACTGATTTTTGTATGTTAACCTTGTATCCTACCACTTTGCTGAACCTCTCTATTAGTT